GTATGTGGCTGGCGCCCTAGCCACTGAGCTACAGGCACCAAGCCTTAAAATGTTTTCAAGATTCATCCGTCTATTCCACATATCTGTACTTTTTGTTTTTATGGATGAATAATCATATATGTATTACATTTTGTTTATGTATGCATCAGTTAATGGACATTTCAATTGTTTTCACTTTTTGGATATTATAAATAATGCTATTGTGAACATTGTATACAAGTTTTTTTTTTTTTATGGACAGACATTTTTATTTTTATTATTTTATTTTATTTTATTTTATTTTTTGAGACAGAGCCTCAAGCTGTCCCCCTGGGTAGAGTGCCGTGGCATAGCTCACAGCAACCTCAAACTCCTGGGCTCAAGCGAGTCTCCTGCCTCTGCCTCCCAAGCTGGGACCACAGGTGCCCACCACAACACCTGGCTATTTTTTTTCAGTTGCAGCCATCATTGTTGTTTGGCGGGCCCGGGCTGGATTCGAACCCACCACCTTAGGTGTATGTGGCTGGCGCCTTAGCCACTTGAGCCACAGGCACCGAGCCCAGACATTTTTATTTATCGTGTTCGGAGATCAACCGATTATAGCTGTCCTAGTGGGTGTGAAGTGGCATTTCATGATTTAGATTTGTATTTCTCTGGTGATTGATGATATTGATCATTTGTTTATCAGCCATTTGTATATCTTCTTTGAAGAACTGTCTGTTCAGATTTTTTGTCCACTTATTAAATGGACTATTGATCTTTTTATTTTTAAATTGAAAGATTTATTCTGGATGCCAGTCTCTTATCTAATACGTGATTTACAAGTATTTTCTCTCATTTCATGGGTTGTTATTCACTTTCTTAGTGACATTCCTTGAAGTACAAAAGGTTTTATTTTGATTATCCAATACGTTTCTTTTTAGTTGATTAATTTATTTTTTTGTTACTTGTGCTTTTGATGTTATGTCTGCTTTCCAAAGATTTATACCTGTGTTTTTATTTTAAGAATTGTAACATTTTAGCTTTTATATTTAGGCTTATGATCCATTCTGCCTTAATTTTTGCCTAATGTCCACTCTTTGTGATCAGTATTTTTCAATGCACCTTTAATTTACAGGTAGTATTAAATATGTAATATCAAAAATTCTAGAGCCCTAAATACATGCAGAGAATCAATAAAAGGAAATGCCTTTGTATTGAAAATACATGTTTCTGTATTTAAATGCTCTGGCATAGCTACCCTAGTTGATATCAGGAGCAGTCAGGTGCTGAAGACTGTTTGGATTAAGAGAAATAGGACCATCAGAATTCTGTTGTCTTCAGTGAAACTGGATGAGGCAAACAATGTCTTTTAATTATGGAGTTGTAAGAGTTTTATATATTCTATAAAGTATATAAATATTTTTTCCAATTTGGTGGGTTGTTTCTTTACTTCTTGGTGATGTTTATGTCTTCAACAAAGAAAGTACCTGGCTGGTCTGAGTGCAGTGCTTTTTACAACTAACTGATCACAACTAAAGGTTTCTTTGTTGGGGGCCAGTGCCTGTGGCGCAAAGGAGTAGGGCACTGGCCCCATGTACCAGAGGTGGTGGGTTCAAACCCAGCCCCAGCCAAAAACTGCAAAAAAAAAAAAAAAAAGTTGCTTCTCCACTTGCACTGCCAAAAAATAAACAGGTGATGTGGCAGGCACCTGTAGTCCCAGCTAACTCAGGAGGCTGAGGCAAGAGAATCGCCTAAGCCCAGGAGTTGGAGGTTGCTGTGAGCTGTGATGCCACGGCACTCTACCGAGGGTGACAAAATGAAATTCTGTCTCTTAAAAAAAAAAAGGAATTTTCATCAGGAGACTTAGCTTTCCTTAAAGTACTTTCTGAATTTATAGAGATAGAGTAAAGGAGTCTACTACTTTAATCTGAGAGTAGTTTGATCATGAGTCTGGGTGAGATTTCTTCATATTACTTTCCAAATGTACTGTGATGAGGTATAAGGTTGCCGTATTCTTTAATCTGACAATAGGGGGAATTGCATCAAGAGATGTTCTGTCCCAGTACTCTGGGAAGTTGAGGCAGGTGTTTTGCCTGAGCTCAGGAGTTTGAGACCAGCCTGAGCAAGAGTGAGACCCTGTCTCTAAAAATAGCCAGGCCTTGTGGCAGGTGCCTGTAGTCCCAGCCACCAGGGAGTCTGAGGCAAGAGAATCACTTTGAGCCCAAGAGTTTGAGGTTGCTGTAAGCTATGATGGCACAGCACTCTACTGAGGGTGACTAAGTCAGATTATGTCTCAAAAAAAAAAAAAAAAGGAAGAGATACATGTTCTGATTCTTCAAAGTCCTTGCATTCCTAGGTTAAATGCAACTTTGTCGTTTTGGTAACTTTCTACTGTTTCTTAGTTATAATAAATCTCCATTTCACAACTTTCCTTCTTGCTTTTTCTTATGATCACTCTGGCCAAAGATATGTCTATTCATATAATAGACTTGGTTTTATTAATTTTCTCAGCTGTTTTCTTTTCTTTTTTTGAGACAGAGTCTCACTCTGTTGCCCTTGGTAGAGTGTCGTAGCATCACAGCTCACAGCAACCTCAAACTCTTGGGCTTAAGCGATTCTTTTGCCTCAGCCTCTCAGTTAGCTGGAACTACAGGTGCCAGCCACAGTGCCTGGCTATTTTTTGTTGCAGTTGCCATTGTTATTTAGCTGGCCTAGGCCAGGTTTGAATTTGCCAGCTTTGGTGTATGTGGCAGATGCCATAACCACTGTGCTATGGGTGCCAAGCAAATCTCAGCTGTTTTCTTGTTCTTTGTTTCTCTAATTTCTGTTCTTATTTTTATTATCACTTTTCTTCCACCTTCTGTTGTCCATGGTTCTTTCCCTTAAGTCTTAGGTTGAACAGTGAGATTGCTCATCTTTTTACTTTAGTCAATTTTAGTCAAGTTAATGGTAAACAGTTAAAATATATTTACACTAATACTCCTGTATTTTACATGTTTAGACTGTTTTTTATTGTCTTTACTTATAAGGTGTTAATGGTGGGAGCCATTCTAAATCTTTCTATTGCTGAAATAATAACGTGTTCTGAAGTGCCACTCATGCTGGTTTATCCAGTGAGTTTACAAGCAGGTGAGAGTGCTTGTGGCATTGTCCTAGCTCACAGCAACCTCAAATTCCTCGGCTCAAGCAATCTACCTGCCTCAGCTTCTTGAGCAGCTGGGACAACAGGTACCTGCCACAACTCCCAGATAGTTTTTCTATATTTTAGTAGAGATGGGGTCTCACTTTTGCTCAGGCTGGTCTCAAACTCCTTCGCTGAAGGTGTTCTCCCTCTTTGGTATCCCATTGTGCTAGGATTACAGGTGTGAGCACATTTGGCCTGGAAAATTTATTTATTTTATTTATTTATTTTTTTGAGACAGAACCTCAAGCTGTCTCCCTGGGTAGAGTGCTGTGGCATCACAGCTCACAGCAACCTCCAACTCCTGAGCTTAAGCGAGTCTCATGCCTCCACCTCCCAAGTAGCTGGGACTACAGGTGCCCGCCACAATGCCTGGCTATTTTTTGGTTGCAGCCATTGTTGTTTGGCGGGCCCAGGCTGGATTCACACCCGCCAGCTCAGGTGTATGTGGCTGGCACCTTAGCCGCTTGAGCCACAGGCGCCAAGCCTGGCCTGGAAATTTTAAATGTTAATATTAAAATTGTTAATCCTTGTCTATGTGGTTTTTGTTTGTCAAGCTTTGTTGATCAGGGTCTGCCCCACTAATGAAAGCATCCTATATGATTTGTTTTATTTTATTTTATTTTTATAGACAGGGTCTTGCTTTGTCACTTAGTCTGGAGTACAGTGGTGTCATCATAGGTCACTGCAACCTCCAATTCCTGGGCTCAAGCTATTGTCTCATCTCAGCCTCCTGAATATCTGGGGCTATAGGTATGCGCCACTATACCCAGATAATTTTCTTTCAGTCTTTTGTCGAGACAGGATGTTCCTATGTTGCCTAGATTGGTCTTGAACTCTTAAACTTTAGTGATCCTTCTGCCTCAGCCTCCCAAATTGCTGGGATTACAAGCATAGACCACTGCACCTAGCACATTACTTTGACTTTATGTTGAGGTTTTTATCCATCTGAAATTTGAAAGTACAGTAGAACCTCTATAGTGAGCACTTCCTTCCATTGACTGCTTCCCTAAGTTGACCTAATTTTCATAGACGAGATGTGCACCACATTTATGTATCAGCACAGTAGGCTTTTGCATATGTTGACTAGTTTGTTATAGTCACTTGGATGATCAACTTACAGATGTTCTACTGTATTTATATTCTGAGGCATGGGCCTAATTTCATTTTACTTTAAAAAATATGCAGAACCATTTATCTTAATATTATGAAGTCAAAGTAGTGGGAGAGGTTGGTAAGAAGAAAGTTGATAACGATGAAGACACAAGCGGCTGCAAACATAATGATCTTCATTCCCTGCTACAGAACTTTCCTCAGACATGGTCCAGTTTTCCTTACAACCCTGCAGGGCAATCGTGGATAGATCTTGAACTTAGACCCAGAGTCTAAGCCACTGAGCTTGTGGTGTGTCTCATTCATGAATGTAGAACTTTGACCACAGGGTTAGGGTGAGAACTGCTTATGCCGTGATATTATAAGCTCCTTATGATATTGGGGCATCAGGGATGTGTATACTTGTGTGGTGGACAAGTGGAATGGGGACACCAATGCAGTGGCCAAGGTAGAATTACAGGGTGACCCATGATGCCAGTCTCTGGCCTCTCACTTACCAAACTAATCCTGTTGGTGATATTTATCCTGAATGCCATTCCTCCTGCCTGTTCTTTAAGAAGATGAAAATGCTGTGGGGCTTTATTCAAATCTGCCCTTGGCTCTCATTTTACTTCCCCTTGTATAGATGTATGTTTTGAAAGGAAAAGACGTAAAAGCGTACACCTAAGCCATCATCATTTTCCATTTCTTTTCCAGATGCAGTTTCATATACCTAAGTCTGCCTTTTTCTTTCTTTCCTTTTCAGCCTGGGGCATGAGACTGAAAATGACAGCCCAGAATATTCCTGAAGAACTATCTTGTGCTGTAGAAATGGAAGGATTTCCAAGGGAGGTTCCCTGTTTCTCCCTTCTAGGGGAGGATGGTTGGGACTGTGACAACCATGAGAGACGTTTAAGGCAATCAGCTTTAACTCCTGAGAAAGTAGAGGCTCAGAAAGCAATTTGTGAATATCGTAGTTTTGGGGGTCATTTGAGTACAAGTTCACACCTTTCACCATCTCAGACAGTTCCTATGACAAATGGTTTTCATGTACATGATTCATATGTTAGAAGTCTGGATTGTGACTCAGCCTTACACAGTTGTCCCAAAAGTTATGCAGCTAAGGGAACTGGTGACAGTGATGCCTATGAAAAAGCCTTCAATTATTCCACAGAAGTTGTTCAATTTGGAAGAAGTCAAATGAGAGGGAGATCTTATAAACACCCAGAAAGTGTTAAATCTTTTAACCATTTTACCTCTGTTGGCCATCAGAAAATAATGAAAAGAGGCAAGAAACTGTATGAGGGTAAGGACTTTGGGGACATTTTTACCCTGAGCTCATCTCTTAATGAAAACAGGAGGAATCACCCCGGAGAAAAACAGTATAAATGTACTGAATGTGGCAGATGTTTCAAACGGAACTCTTCCCTTGTTTTGCACCACCGAACTCACACTGGAGAGAAACCTTATACCTGTAATGAGTGTGGAAAATCCTTCTCCAAGAACTACAACCTGATAGTACATCAAAGGATCCATACAGGCGAGAAACCTTATACATGCAATAAGTGTGGGAAAGCATTCAGTGATGGGTCAGCTCTAACACAACACCAGAGAATTCATACAGGTGAGAAACCTTATGAATGTGTAGAATGTGGAAAAACCTTCAACAGAAATTCGTCCCTGATTTTGCATCAAAGAACTCATACAGGGGAAAAACCTTATAGGTGTAACGAGTGTGGAAAACCCTTCACTGACATCTCCCACCTTACTGTGCATCTGAGAATCCATACAGGTGAGAAACCCTATGAGTGTAGCAAATGTGGAAAGGCCTTCCGAGATGGCTCATACCTCACCCAGCATGAGAGGACTCACACTGGAGAAAAGCCCTTTGAATGTGCAGAATGTGGGAAGTCCTTCAATCGAAACTCTCACCTTATTGTACATCAAAAGATCCATTCTGGAGAGAAACCCTACGAATGCAAAGAGTGTGGGAAAACATTCATTGAGAGTGCATACCTCATCAGGCACCAGAGGATTCATACTGGCGAGAAACCCTATGGCTGTAATCAATGTCAGAAGCTTTTCAGGAACATTGCAGGCCTCATCCGGCATCAGAGGACTCATACTGGTGAGAAGCCCTATGAGTGTAATCAGTGTGGCAAAGCTTTCAGGGACAGCTCCTGTCTGACCAAGCACCAGAGAATTCACACTAAGGAAACCCCATACCAGTGTTCAGAATGTGGGAAATCCTTCAAACAGAACTCTCACCTAGCAGTACATCAGAGACTTCACAGCAGGGAGGGACTCAGCCAGTGTCCTCAATGTGGGAAAACATTCAGAAAGAGCTCATCTCTTGTCCGACATCAAAGAACACACCCTGGAAATAAACCCATGGAAACATAATGCATGTGGGCTACACTCTTCCAATGTGTTCTCAGAATTCTGCATGAAGGAGGTGTGTCTTAGATGGAACATCTCTCTGGTCAGTAGAAAAGTTTTTTTTAAGAGATAGGGTTTTGCTGTGTTTCTGCAGGCTGAACTTGAATTCCTTGCCTCAAGTGATCCTCCTACCTTGCTTTCCCACAGTGCTGGGATTACAGGTGTGAGCCCCTATGCCCAGCAAAATTCTTTAAGCTATCCAGTGAATTGATGAATGTGAGACATTTCATGCCTTATTGTTAACTCTATTCATTTTGGAATTTCTGGAGAGAATATAAGATGGTAAGAAGTGTAGGAAAAGCTTCAGGGGGGCAGTGCCTGTGGCTCAGTGAGTAGGGTGCTGGCCCCATATACTAAGGGTGGCAGGTTCGAACTCAGTCCCGGCCAAACAGGTGGCAGGTGCCTATAGTCCCAGCTACTTAGGAGGCTGAGGCAAGAGAATTGCCTAAGCCCAAGAGCTGGAGGTTGCTGTGAGCTGTGACACCATGGCACTCTACCAAGGGTGACAAAGTGAGATTCTGTCT